TCTGTTTCATGTCGCTGCTGATCTGTTTCATGTCGCTGCTGATCTGTGATCATGTGGGACCCTGTGTACAAAATTTCGTTCCACCACATGCCTCACATGTGATGCGAATGACAAATAAAAAACTCTGACTCTCTCTGACTGACTCTGATATAAGCCATTCATCCATCCGTCCATCCATTATCTTTACCCGCTTCTTCCTTTTCGGGTTGCGGGGGTCACTGTCATCCATATCTAGCAGTCAGGGGACACCCTGGACAGGTCTCCAGTCCATCACAGGGACACATAGAGACAACCATTCACTCTCTCACTCACATCTAGGGACAATTTAGAGTTACCAATCAACCTAACATGCATGTTTTTGGTCTGTGGGAGGAAACTGGAGTACCCGGAGAAATTTCACACATGCATGGAGATAATATGTAAACTCCACCCTGAAAGGCCCCTGGCTGGGATTTAATCCAGCAAACTTCTTGCTGAGAGGCAACAGCTCTACCAACTGAATCACCGTGCCACCTTCATATATGGTATATTAGAAATATTTTTCTTAAATTTACTACGTCCACCAGAACCATTGCTTTCACTGATGTTTTGAGCGCATTGTCTTCGAAGAAATTGGACCACTTCAGAACTTCTGAGGATGCACAGAGGCTGTCCAGACATCAAGAGTCCTCCACCTGAACACAAGCCCGGCCATTCACTGAGACTTTCAGCTCACACCTGTCTCTGTTATTGTTTTTATAATTCTCCTCACTTTTACATTTTTCTTTTGCATTTAATTTGGTTTAATTTTGCTCCTTCAGTTCCCTCTAAAAGGTCAAAATCCATCATTGCCTCAAAGCTACATTTTCCTTTTATCCATATGGCCATTAATTTGTGTTTACCTTATGTTTATACATTAGGATTTTTTTTTACATGTGTATTTCATCATCCATATTTTCCATAACTTCTTATTATAATTCTGTCTGCTAATATCGTCACATAAATAATGCCAAACTTTAATTCAGTTGTGTGTGTGTTTAGATGTAATTTGTGATTTTCCTTCAAAGAAAATAATTCACTATTTAGTCACTCATTGAGAATGATAATCATATAAATCATAGACTTAAAGATTTTTCTCTTTTTTTCAAATATGTTGCCCCAATGTTACACAATTTATGCATTTTTAATAACTTTTAACTTGTCCATTCTTTATTGTGTACCCTAAACAACAATTTGGACCAAAATCAATGACTCATTCAGTGAACATCAACAGATTTACTCGCTGCTTGGGTAAAAACTTCAGTGGCTTCTTTTTTGGAGATGTCTGTGGTCTCCGAGTCGGCTAGCTGCACCTGCTCTCTCTTTCAGCACATAACTCTGGGAGTAAATAATGCTTGTGGTGTTCTGGGCTAGAGTGTGACACACAAACACAAGCACAAAGGAAAAACAATATAACAAAAGCAATAAATAGATGTCTAAAAATGTGCACAGGGGAAAGTAATACAGAGAAGGAAAGAAAGCAAAGATACGTTTTGTATTTAAAGAAGGTGGATATCTGGTCAGGAAAGAAAACAAAAAGTAGGATTTCAACCTTGTGCTCATTTCTCATTTAAAAAACAGTTACCTAGATGTAGTGCATTGAAACTCCCATCTAAATTTGAACCGGTACTGAAAGAAATGCAGAAACAGATGCAGAGACAAGTAAAAGACACAGACAGAGGACAGAGATTACTCAGACACTGGAGTAAGAAAACTACAGGTGATAGAAAAAGAAAGGAGAAATTAGGTTGAGGGTTAAGAAGTAAAACACTTAAGCTAAGCAGGTTATCTAATGAGCCACAGCAGCAGATGTAAAGCGTGTGACTGAGAATGGAAAGGTTCTGTCATGTTGCCCCTCCTGCCATAGTTTCTGTGATCATGCTCTGTTTTATCCTCTGTTCACGTCTCTGTTCATGCCTGCTCCTATCACTCTGCACCTCGTCC